CAAAAATACATAATATTGTCTATCATATTGCCGATGAACATGAACGTATTCCTACTTAACTTTTTAAAATCCTCGCTACAACGATCGAACATCCTTTCCTGCTCCTTCATCAATGTAATAAATCCACTGTAATCGAGGTTCTCTTGCTCTTTCATCGTATGTACGGCGTAATCTGCTAAATGGATAATTGCATTTGCAACAGATAGAAATTTGTCTAGCATTTCCAGACGTGCACATAATCCCATCATAGTATTGTCGTGATTGTGTTCTTCAAGTTCAGAAATAATTATTTCCCTGTATCTGTTGTATGTACTTTTGATCTTATTAATTTCTTCCCAGAATACAGTCCATACTTCCAGCTCAAGCTTTACGCAATTCTTTATCCACGTGTCAATATCACTAACGGCACCTACCAAGCTGCAAGATGGTTTTGCATCCTGTGACTCTGCTAACTCAAAAAAAGTTCTGTTATGCAAATACGCGTCTTTGCGAACTTTAAATTTCCTTTCAATTTTTATCATACTTGCTGAGAAGTTCATCTCAAATGAATCTAACGTTACTCTTAATATCGGAACCATTATCTTGCCACCAAACAAGCTAACCAATAACTGAATACTCGATGTCTTTCATCGACATTATATACTTGCAAATAATATACCTGATCCAAAGTAGGGTTAACAGTACCAAGAAAAAAGGTTTTCCTATACCTAACTCAGGTATAGAATGACACTCTTTTCAGCAGATTAGATCAATACTGAGTATACATTTAAAATTTTAAAAACTTACAAAATATTAATCAAGCGATGCTATAGGGTGATCGGAATCGGAACTTAGAGATTTATGAAAATTAAATGATGAATCTTTCTCATCTACTAGTTTCTCTCTATAACAAATGTAATAATGTCCTATAAACCTATGAAATATGTAAAACAGAAATAAAACGCGTTATTTTATTTGATCTTCTGTATTTTTTAAACTTATTTTAAATATTAATATCAAGAAAAAGCCATTGGAATTTTCGAAATTACCTGATTCGCTTGATCGAACAAATACTCTATATTTTGACCTCACTCTCACCAAGCAAATACTTTTATGTTTTTAAATAATATTTTAATGTTAGTTATTGTTAATTATTGAAAAAAAAGATAAAGATTTAATTAAAGTAAGCTTTTATTCAAATATATGAACTGCAGACAATTAATAAAATAAAAACATATTTTATGAAAATATTAATGACAAAATAATTATGGTATATATTTCATTATTTAAAAATACAGAATATTGTCTGTCATAATGCCGATGAACTTGAACGTTTTCCTGCTTAACTTTTTAAAAACCTTGCTACAAGAATTGAACTTCATTTCCTGCTCCTTCATCAATGTAATAAATCCACTGTAATCGAGGTTCTCTTGCTCTTTCATCATATGTACGACTTGATCTGCTAAATGAATCATTGCATTTGCAACAGATCGTAATACGTCTAGCATTTCCAGCCGTTCAGATAATCCCATCATAGTATGGTCGTGATTATGTTCTTCAAGTTCAGAAATAATTAAGTTCCTGTATCTGTTGTATGTACTTTTGATCTTATTAATTTCTTCCCAGAATACAGTCCATACTTCCAGCTCAAGCTTTACGCA